AAAAAAAAAAAAAAAAAAAAAAAAAAAAAAAAGAATTTATATATACCTTTAACTCAAGTTTGTTAATAGTATTCAGTAACCAGGCGATAGTTCCATCGCCACCGGCTACAAGTATGGTAGATGGGGTTTTTCCTAACAAACGGCACCATTCGAGAGCAGCGACCGGATCGCGTTCAGCTAAGTCCATGATTTGTGCGGGGTTTAACAATCTTCTAAATAAAGATAAAATTTGGCCACCGTCATTGTTCCCAGATTTTGTATTTCCTGCACAAAAAAAAGAATTTTGAGAATATGTATATTTCGAGCAATTTTTATTTTTTATTGTTGATCTTCTTTTTTATTTACCTACAACGATGATTGGATTCCAATCAAGCCAATTCGGTGGTATAATAGAACGAAGATGTAACCTGCGTCTCATTGTGCTACGTCGATTTATCACTTCCAAACTTCCTGGCGGAATAATCATTAATTTGAACTTTCCGAAATCACATATCTGAAAAACAAATATACTTGACTTTCCCAATCTGTTTTATTTTTTCGTGATGAACAAAACAAAAAGCGTTAGAAACGGCAAAACGCTATTTTAAAATTGCTATTTTTATTAATAAGATTTTATTATTAGAACCAAGAAACCCTGACAAAAAAAAATTATTTTAAAAAACAAAAAGTTATTGCAAATGCAATAGCTCTCTACAAATATGACGCGAAAGATATATCGATAAAATGGAAAAATCGTTAATTATTACTTCAGAGAGGGCAGATTTACATGCTTCATGAACACATTTTTGACACCAACAACACCACCAGTCCGTGAGGCCGGGTTCTACGTCACACTCTTCTTCGCAGATATAGCATATGGCAACAAGTGGTAAATTACCTTCAGATACAACGAAATATATCTATTTAAAGAACGAAATATTGAAGAGGACACATGTATTCGTCACATGTTAGTAAATAATAACACACCTTTGACCCAATGATGTTTCATCGGTTGATCATTACTAGAAGTTATTACTTTGCATTTTAGCTGTTTGTCGGCAAGCTTTATGCAGCCTCGATCCGCACACACACCGCAAGAATCACAAAAAATGCCATCAAGATTCAACAATAGAGCCTCGCAAATACTACAGTAATACGTCTGTATATCGAGATGAACGTATGTAAAGAGAATAATTCTATATATATTTTTTTTCATTTAATTTATTATTACTTTGACTTTATGTTAAATATATATATGATTTTTTTTCATGGCATTAAAACTGCTATTTTTATAATGCTATATATAATATTTTATAGATTAAATAAATATTCTAATTTACATGACACACAAGAGATCATGCAACGGTGTAAATTATTATATAATTATTATTATTATGTCAATTTAGCAAGTAGAAAAAATATTCTATATTTAAAAATAACTATATTAAAATCATTTGGAACTATATTGGAATACTCGGAAATATTGGATATAAATATTTCATTTTATTGCTATAAGAAACGACCTATCAAAATAATTTCATAAAAATTCTTGAAAGTACCTTGGTTGTTCCTTTGATTGATTTCCAATTATGTTCCTTTGTAACATCTCTAATCTGAATATGAGAATTACCTATTAGATATCGGAAGAAATTAACCGTGAATACAAAGAAAATCATGGTAGATAATGTAGGTAGAATAATAATATTCAGATCTTCGTCCCACATAATGGCGAATAATGTGTTTTGTAATATTCCAAAAATTTATAATCTGAAATTAATGTAATGTCAAACATAGTAAATTATTATTTTTCTTATAAAAAGATATTCTTAGACTATTAAAATTACAAAAACATATTTAAAAACATTCATATTGCAATTAAGATGTTACCTAAAGTGCTCATAACATAATAAAACTAATATTTTTGGAATAAATAATAATTTTTATACAATACATTTATTTTTAAGATATTTTTAAGATATTTTTGCCAAATAATATAAAAAATATTAATAAATATTTTTTATAATAAATTAAATCAGTTGTTACATAAAAAATAGTAAGAATCAGGATGATCAATTTATTCAGAAATTATAAAAAAACTGTTTTTGGTGTTTTTTTAAATTTTACTATTCATATCATTATTTTAATATTTATTATTTTGCATATAAAAGTTAAATAATTGCTTTTAATTAAAAGATACATCTCTTTAAAAGCTTGATATTATTTTTTTAACATCTATGACTTGTGTCTCATGTTCTTTTATATCAATAAAATAAAATAAAAACGGATCGATATCTTTGTAATCAGTACAATACAACTGATATTCGTCTTGTATACATTAAGGGGCATGGAATCATGTTAATGTGATAACTCGAATTTATGAAAATGGTGATTTATAATTTCCTCATAATAACTGATTTAATCCCGCAATAAGATGTGATAATAAATAAAATGTTAGATAAATTTAATTGTTACTTACGTTACGTGTGACGAATGTGATAGCAACTTTTTTCAAGTCATTTGTATATATTATACATGTATATTTGTATATTATTCATGTATATCGTACATGTGTGCTACTTGGTATTGTTTAACCTGTCAACTACAGCTGTTTACAGCTGTTTCTACCAAGATTGCTGGTCATGCTTATAGGAATGGGTATCTCGATTCTTCTCGATTAGTCGAGATTCGATACTTGTCTCGATTATAAATCGAGTATTCCTTCGATGTTTCCAAATTTTATCAATCAATTCTATGTCAATGTTTCTTCTTATGCAATATTATTAATAGAGAAAACCTTAGAGCGACTATCCCGATGTTTTTCATGGGATAAATTTTTTCTTTTTTATATATCAAGTATAGAGAAGAGAGGCGCCTATATGGGAACTATCATACTGGTTCATTTAAGAACATACTACATCCTTCCATCTATCGATCTTAATAAAAAGCGCGTTATTTAAATGAAGAGGTCTACCACCTAAATTTTAAACCAAAATAAAAAATTACAAGGTGCTTATTTGAGTAAATCATAAATAAAATTAAAATTCAATCAAATTGGAATACTTGCGAGATTATTTAAGTAAGATAAATGTGTGTGTAATTTAGTCAAGATAACATAAAATAAAATAAACTAAAATATACAATAGTATAAGAATATTCTAAAGAATATAATAATATTAGATTATTAACTAAACTACAGTAAATTAGATATTAAAGAGAGAGAAAAAATTATGACTACAGTTATATAATATAGAACACAAAAAATAGCTTGCAAATAAAAATTTATGGATAGTAATACCAATACTAAGCAAATTGCATTGTTGTACCGTAATTAAACTTGAAATTAAAAACAAATTTAATTTAAGTTAGTAATATTAATAATATTACATCACATATATGTATATGTGCACGAAAATAATATTTTTAAAATCTTAATTTCTAGAATAAAAATAAATTAATTTAACACTAAGTAAATACTTGCATCATAAATAGATAATAATTATTTGATAAGATAAGGGAATCCGAAAGGAATCCTTGCGTAGACTTTTAATTAATGAAAACCTTTGAATATGTTAAAGCGAAGAAAATGCCAGAATATATGATTCAGAAATTTTGGGATTCTACAGGTCATACAAGCAGATAAATTAATGATTTCATGGAAGCCAAGCTTTTAGTACTGTCATCTACATCCATTTTAGAGGCACATAGAATTACATAGCTACGTTCATTTTCCGATACTGCTGATAAAATCACTTTAGGCTTGCTATAATAAATTACGAAACATGTCTCATATATAGATTTAATTGTATATTTTATTAACAAATAAAATAAAATCATTTTTTTTTTAATTGAAAATTTAATAAAACAAAATAATAATACTAAATTAATTTAATAATAGTATATTATTAGTTATATTAATAGTACTAAAAACAGTAATAATAAATAGTTTCTTGATTAAAATAAAATAAATTTTATTCTTAGAATGAACTTTAGATCTTATTTGCGACGATATCTTATATATTGAATTTAATTTAAAGTATAAAATACAGAATATACAGAATTTTGTGGAATGTTGAATATTTCAAGGTGACAACAAATTAGTTGTACAAATATATTTGGCCTCGACGTACAGCGTATTATTGTTGATATACTCGCTCAACTTGTCGTTATTCACACGGCGAAACTTGAGTAGGAAGGTTGCTGCTCGGCGTATCGTCGGATTATTTTTCGAGGAATACGATTATATTTCTTGCATTTATTATAATTATTAATTGAAACTGTTTCGCGAGTGATGAGTGTCAAGATTTTACCTTGCTCGAAGTCATTATTGGTATCCTATCGTTTAAGCAACAAGGATAAAAATTATAAATTATTGTTTTGTTGCGATCTTTACGGATAATGATTATTTTTCTAACAATGCTTAAAGTTAAATATATATATTTTGTTAAATATATATATTTTATCCGCTTTATCGTTCGACTTTTCGATGATCTAAATATATCTAATTTGGATTGAGAAAGTAAAAAACGCGCACGAATCGCAAGATCAAGTAATTAAAATAACAAACTGCCTTGTAATATATAAATCGTTTAATAAATAATAATCAATCTATAATTTAAAACATAGTATATTTTGTATATACCTACATATGTTTTATAGTCCGTAAAATATTTTGGCAACGAGAATTAGGATAATAACATAGCGTTCGGCCTTGGCGACGTATAGCGCGCTATTGTTTACATGCCGCGGCCTTGTTATCATTTGCTCGGCGACACTCAAACAGTAAAGTTGTAGTGCGAAACGCTTCGTATATTATCGAATTCTTTTTCTAAACACGATCACGACTAGTATCGAAACATAATTTACTGTAATTATTACAATTAACGATTGAACGAATTAATTATAAAATAAATTACAATTTATATATGATATATATTACAAATTATATAAAATAACCCTCCCAACGGGTACACCTTGACGTTGGTGGGAGGGCTTATTACCTGGAAGGTTGATCCTGAAGGGGAAGCTAAGTACCCAAACGCGCGACAATGCATTTACAGCATTGTCATCAGTCTCATAAGTAGAAAATGTATTTTTTCCCCAGGAATTAATTTTCCCTCATTAATTCGCTCAATTATCTACTCCTATAATCAAAAAATTTTTTTAATCTCACATACGATAGTATTTGGACACTCTTCTCATCCCTCTTTATAGACAAAAAATTTGACAACCATTTCCACGAGATGTACGAAATGACAGGTGATCATGAGCCTTGGAGATCCCCATTTTTGGTGCGCGCTTCTACGTTGATTTTTCACGGAGTTATTGTCAAATTATATAAAATTATTATTGAATCGCGTTCAATTTATGAATGAATGATCGTATAAGAGTGCGCGGGGGTGCGGGGAGTGAGATAAGTCGCGGCTACTACGCGTGCTGTAACGCAGGTACGCAAAGTTAATTCGCTCGGTCACGTGAAGTGCGGGCGTTCTGTCACGTGCGCGTGATGCGAATCAGCTGTTCATCGTTGCGTCGTGCGATTCGCGTGATTGTCATCACACGTCTTTGCATGTACATCACTGGTAGAAATACGATAAAAAGAATTACAGCGAGTTAAGGCAAAATAATCGCAGAATATAAAAACCGAAAATACAGCGCGATAACGTTATCTCTACATTATCGTATAATGCACATATGATATATTTTAGATTTCATTTAAAAAAAAAATGAAATATATTTATAAAATTATTTATTATTAATTATTAACAAGCAAAATCAGATTTTTAAATTTTTATGATATTTCACAAAATTTATATGAGACTGGTTACATTTTTAAAATAATAATCTTTTTAGAGTTTGAAGTTATCCTTTTAACCAAATTTATGTGTCTCAAATATTTTATTTCTTTAGCAAAAAATTTGTGTTTTCTCAGATTTATTTTTAAATCGGCTGTTTTTAATGAAAGAAATACTTTTTTAAAATTCTTTACCATTTCTTTAAAGCTCTTACTAAAAACAATTATATTATTTTAATCAACCAAACAAGTATTGGATAACAATTTTTCTAAGCGTGTTCTTTAACCATCCAAATGTAAAAAGATCGTTTAAATCTAGAGAGCAGAGAAAATTTTTTACCTGAGATTTTTCAATCGCTCTTTTTTTTTATATATTCAATAATTTCATTCATTTTCAATTCTTCATTTAGGTTTTTTAAAATGTATATACACTAAATTTTAACATTTTGAAATTTTAAAATATTGACTACAATATTGATTACAATAAACAAAATTTATAATTAATCGATGTTTGCAGTATGTTTTTAAGAAATTATTTCTTATAATCAATTATTTGAGCGGAATCATGTAGAGAACTTTACGTAGCTTGAGAAATGCGCTGTTTGCTACCGCCCTCTCGAAATATTACAACTAGATTACGAAGCAGTAAGACAGACAAAACAAGTATGAATGATAACAAAAGAAATATGGTATTTATTTTATCGCACTTTATAATTGTACTAGACAGTATCATTTATAAGTTTTCTATTAATTCTAATCAGTTATTAAATTTGCATGGATTAATTGGAGTATAACGTATCGAATTTGCTTCTGTTAATAGTACGTATACAATATATAATTATGCTATTATAAACTTTATAATATGTATATTAAATTTGTGTATTTTTTTCCAAATTATAATAATTAATGTTTGCACAATTTATAAGTACAGTAATAATCAAAGCATTATTTCTATAATTTATAATATACATGTATATTATAAATTACATATCTAAAAAATCTCTGAAACATCTCGATTGCATTTATTGTTAGAGACATTATTGTTAAAGTTTTCTCTGTCATTTCATTGCCGTTAGATATAAAACATGATAAAGATGTAGCATTAAATAATCTCTAAATTTTCCTCAATTAAATCATTCATTTTAAAAAGGGTTATCTATTAAAATACCGAGAATGGATTTGCGGTGTACGCGGTATTCTATTATGTAGACACAAAATCATGCACAGTAAAAATTTTATTTAAAAAAAATTAGTGACACAAAAGTATCAATGAAATATGAGGTGACAATAAAATACCTTTATACACTGCAATAATGCAATCAAATGTTTATCATGTTTTCTGCAAGATATGAATTTTGGAGTAATTCTAAAATGACTGAATCAATTATTTGCAAGGGAAAAGAGCTCTTCTTTATCGCGTATCAAGAAGCTCTTTTCTCGTCCTCGTCCGGATATTTTATCATAGCGAGATGGCGCCTCGACGACGATCAGAAGAAGATCTCACCAGAGTCATCATCATCATCATCATCATCCATAGGTCACTTCCTGTGTTTACACCGTCGTTCGCCTCTCGCTACCGTTGACCTCTCGATCGGTCGGGGCTACTGACTTGGTTGAAGGAAGACGCGCTTACCTCACTGTCGAAAACGACGGCTGCCGTTTGCAAATTGGTCACGGTCGTGTACCGCGGTCATCTTTTTCTAAGTCAGCCAGCCCGACGTCGGCAAATACGATCGTGAGGTCGCGAAGCGGGTGAACGGGTTGACGTGACGCGCATCCGAGCATGCGAGACTTACAAGATTGATCTATCATTGTCTTGTCTGGCCGCCGTCTGGACGGTTGAT